ACAATTAATGAAATGCTTGAAATAAATTATAAATAAAATATGAAGTTTGGTGGCAACGATGTAAAAATACAGGAATACTACAACCTCTTATATCCTACTAGTCATTTAAATTTGAAATTGGGTTTTACACATAGATTTATAGAATGATGGGTATATGTCTAGGAAATAGAAAATGTAGGGATCTATATTGAATAAGCCCTTCTTTTTAATAGGATTTTGTCTCATGGGATGGCCTCTTTATTTTAGACCAACGTAGGAAACAAGCATTTGTGAAAATTTTAATTGGAAAATTTGTATAAATACCACCTAAACTTTAGGCATGTGTGCTAATTATAATTGTTGAACAACTAATGAATGGCATGTATCCAGAAGATTGCATTACTTGGTACTCGGTTCTCTATCCTCGTATAAAAACAGGTGGCACTGAATTTCTATCTCCCATGATGCAACTAAGCCCCTATATAAAAGATGAGCATCGATCTAAAAGTTTGCATTGATCTGTTCTGTGTAAAAAAAGCTTCTAATATTAATCGTTAATTAAATATAAATATTCAATTGATATACATGATTGTAACTAAGCAAATCGGTAATTAAGTAGTGTACAATATTTTCCTGACAAATAAAAAAAAAGTAGTACAATCCTCTCCAAACACTAATACATACAGAAATCTAACAAGACCCATGTTTACAACAATGTTCTGTATCAATATTTAACAATTTTAACTTGTAAACATTACTGTTTCTGGGGGACGATTTTGGGGCAGTGAGTAAGCAGGACCGCCAGTGCTTGTTCCTGCAATCACATCGAAATAGTTGGCGATTCTTGCATCTTCACTATCCAGTTTCTGCAACACATGATCAAACATTTTGGATAATTTAGCACTTGATGATATATTGACATAGTCTCAGGTAGAATATTGATCTTTGGGTGATGAGGTTTCACAGAGAGAGAGAGAGAGAGAGAGAGAGTCTGAATTCTAGAAGAGGGTTTAGACAAATATATAGCTAGAGTTCTTTGGTGAGGTTTCCTTTGACAGAAGTTCAGGAGGATTTATAGACTCCTACACTTATTTTCCAAGAATCAACCAACAAGTCAATGGATATAAATGTGATTCAAATTATGACCAAAAAAAAAAAAAAATGTGATTCAAATTTTTGAATCAGTTCTCTAGTTTCTTGGATATAGTTGGACAGCATGGAAAATGTTGCTACAGTATATGGTTAACTCCATGAGACTCCAAGTTGTAGAATTGTAGCTGAGACTCCATGAGATTTGCAGGTGAAAATGTGAAGCCATATTGGAGGGTAATAAACATGATGCTGGTTAGGCCAATCCCTTAAATCAAACCTCGGTTAAACATGCAGCCACATTTATCAATAAAGGCACATCATGATAGAAGATTCCTTGTCAAAGGATTAAATCTTTATTATGCGTTATGATTTGATTCATGGGAGATACATTGTTTAAGTCAATTTTCAATGTGGACACATTGTTTAGGTTGACATATTTGTTTCCACAAGGAACAAACGTGTGAAGGCTTAGAATCACAAATAAAATGAAAACCTAGCTTGAAATTATTCTACCATATGGAACAGGTAACAAAGAACAGGTGGAACCATCTTTTCACACCATGGTGGGCAAAATCCAAATTGATGGTGGCATGTACTTCTGTGAAGGACTTGAGCAGTAGTAATTTGTTCCAAATTTTCTGTTTTCGAAATTGAAGACTGCCATGCCAAGAGGCTCTTGAACTTCATCATAACCCACCCATTTATCAATGCAGAAGTATATGGAATTCGGATGACAATCCGGAAAGTCTAAAGCTGAGACACACATGGAGTGATTATTGCCACCTAAGAAAAAAGCATCGTTTCCAATACTATCAATCTCCTCAATCCGTTCGCTTCCGATTTTATCCCCACAATCAGAGAACAGCTTGAAAACCTTAAAGCTCAAAGTCTCAGTATAACACTCAACATAATTCAAACTTTGGAACTTCCTAACCAGCAATAGATCTCCCCTAGACGATTCCACTAGATATGCTTGGTCATCAATACCTTGATCCATTGGTACAACTATGCTTACATGAGGTTTATAAGTTGGATCCTTGCCAACGTTTATTGCAAAAACCCCACCCTCCCTACTAGCAGCAAGAAACTGGCCTCTGTAATAGATCACATCATCGAATTCAATCACTTGATTCAGACCATAAAAGAATATGATTGTTTGATCTATGTGAGTCCAACCATGATCCCCTGACTTAATATGAGCTACTCTGGTTCCATTACTATTGAAAAGTGCCACAGCTTCGTAATCATTTGGAAACAAAGAAGGGTCTGCAGACGATACAACCTTCTTAATATAGTCATCACTTCTATAAGCTTGTTTGTGTATGGGTTGAGGGACTTGTGCAAATGGTGGAAGGCGAATGGTACGTTTGGTGGAAGGGTTTAAAAGGGTTACTTCCAAATTTTCATCCACACAAGCCAACCAACCATTGGAAGAACCGCAAAGCCTTTTATTGTAAGGCACATGCAACTCAAAGCTGCAAGTCTTTCCTTTTGTGACACTATACAAGCCATGCCTTTCGTGGCAGTTGTGTTTACTGGGAACCATTAGCATTGGAAGCTGCTTGTGACATGATTTGAGGCGCTGATGCTTCTGATGACGAGCTACTGATTGCCAATTCTTACAAACTGCACCAAGCTGGATGTAGTCAGTGATTGGTATCAACTTCTCTACTATCAGATACAAAAGGTCGCTCGGGAGCCATGCCCAACCTGAAACTACAGTTGATGATATTGCCTGTCCCATAGTATTGGACATAGCTTTTTTATTTTTTGAAGCCTGCTTTGCATTGGGTTTCATTGACAATTTATGAGGAACCAAAAGCTAATATTGTTGAATTGCCCTCCTGTTTTCTTGTGGAATATTCCCCTTCCAGCAAAACCGATGAAAATTATGATTTTTCTTTTTCCTTGTATGGCTCAACATATGATCCAATTAAATTGGAATTGGCTCCAAAACCAATCACTACTAAAAAAACCCCTTGCGCGACCAAACTTTGCGCGACGAAACAAAATTCGTCGCGCAAAGTCACTTTGCGCGACAAATATTAATTATCGTCGCTCAAAGTCCTACGCGACTCAATTTTGAGCAACGAAAAACAAATCGTCGCACAAAGTCACTTTTCGCGACGACAAAGCATCGTCGCGAAAAGTAACTTTGCGCGACGAATACTAGAGTTCGGTGCACAGAGTTTTGCGCGACGAATAATGATTAGTCTCGCAAAGTATTTACAAAAATAAATAAATAAAAAATTATTTTAAAAATTTTTTGGATACCTTTGCACGACGAAATAATAATCTTCGTCTCGCAAAGTCTATACAAAAATAAATAAAATAAAAAAATTATTTTGCTAGAAAAATAAATTATTGTAGTTCGGATTGGGTTTTTGTTAGAAAATATATATTTTAAATTGACGATCGAATTGGTTCATTGTATTCATATAGGGTCAAGGAATGTAGCTGTTAAAAATCATCAAAATTAGAGTTGAAATAACCATTAAATCGTGATTTTTCGTTTATAACCGTCGAAAAGTTTTGTCCTATTACTTAATCTCTGAATGTTTATTTTTTCCGATTTTTGGCGTATATGATCTCGAAGTATAAACAAACAAGTTTGACGGTTGGATCGTTAAAGCTAGTTTCGTAGAATGCGTATGCCATCAAAACAATATATTCACTAACAATTAAGAGTTTATAAACTTTCATTAAATAGAATACATAAGATTTTGTGGTATCCACTAGTGTAAATATTTTAAAGTGAAGATCAAATTCATTCATTGTATTCATATAGGGTCAAGGAGTGTAGATATAAAAAATCATCAAAATCGGAGTTAAAATAACCGTTAAATCGTGATTTTTGTTTATAACCATCGAAA